CTTATTGACACACTATCATGCTACCCCTCTGTTCTGCTTTGGTTAGACCACACCTGGAATATTGTGTCCAATTCTGGGCACCACAATTGAAGAGAGATATTGACAAGCTGGAATGTGTCCAGAGGAGGCGACTAAAATGATCAAGGGTCTGAAGAACAAGCCCTATGAGGAGCGGCTTAAGGAGCTGGGCATGTTTAGCCTGAAGAAGAGAAGGCTGAGAGGAGATATGATAGCCATGTATAAATATGTGAGAGGAAGCCACAGGGAGGAGGGAGCAAGCTTGTTTTCTGCTTCCCTGGAGACTAGGACACGGAACAATGGCTTCAAACTACAAAAAGGAGATTCCATCTGAACATGAGGAAGAACTTCCTGACTGTGAGAGCTGTTCAGCAGTGGAACTCTCTGCCCCGGAGTGTGGTGGAGGCTCCTTCTTTGGAAGCTTTTAAACAGAGGCTGGATGGCCATCTGTCAGGGGTGATTTGAATGCAATATTCCTGCTTATTGGCAGGGGGTTGGACTGGATGGACCATGAGGTCTCTTCCAACTCTTTGATTCTATGATTCTATGACACACTATTATGCTTAGAGGTTGGAGGTTCATTTACCCCATAATAAGATATAACATTTTTGTTAAAAAAGGAATATTATCCATTGGTTTTAGCTACATTGAATGCAAGTAGGAAGAACCTATTCAACTTGTAAGCAGAACACATCATGCGATGTGCGGGGCTCGATGAATGCAAAGCTGGGGTGAAAATTGCTGGAAGAAACATTAACAATCTTAGATATGCAGATGATACCACTTTGATGGCCGAAAGAGAGGAGGAGCCGAGGAGCCTTCTAATCAAGGTGAAAGAAGAAAGCGCAAAAGCTGGGTTGCAGCTAAACATCAAAAAAACCAAGATTATGGCAACAAGAATGATTGACAACTGGGAAATAGAGGGAGAAAATGTGGAGGCCGTAACAGACTTTGTATTTCTAGGTGCAAATATGACTGCAGACGCAAACTGCAGCCAGGAAATCAGGAGATGTTTACTTTTTGGGAGGAGAGCAATGATGCTTTTGAACTGTGGTGTTGGAGGAAAGTTCTGAGAGTGCCTTGGACCATCAGAAGATCCAACCAGTCCATACTTCAGGAAATAATGACCGGTATGAGATATGAAAGATATGAGAGTCCAAGATGAAGTACTTTGGCCACATCAGGAGAAAAAAGGAAAGCTTGGAGAAGACAATTATGCTGGGGAATATGGAAGGAAAAAGGAAGAGGTGCCGACCAAGGGCAAGATGGATGGATGGCGTCCTTGAAGTGACTGGCTTGACCTTGAAGGAGCTGGGGGTGGTGACGGCCAACAGGAAGCTCTAGCATGAGCTGGTCCACGAGGTCACAAAGAATCGGAAACGACTGAACGAATGAACAGGAAGAAAGGAGAACAGCATTTAGGCATGTTGCTGGAAAAAAACTGGTACTAATTTCAGGTATTGTGGATGTTCTAGATGTTCTTCTCAAGACTCAAGGTGCTAAACGTTCTTGTCCTTATTTCCCCCCTCCTTCTAATGTAACTTTGCAGAGTGACCATATATTCCAGTCCTGTTGTTTCATCCACACTGTTTCCCTCATATGACACTTTCCCCACCTTATTGAAAGTCTAATTCCACTATTCAGTCCCCTACGAGCTCCTCCCCCACAAATGTACCTTGTCATTGCTATCTCATCCAGAGTTTTATCATTTTATGTCGTGCATTTGGCCTGCCCACTGTGTTTTATTTTCCATTATGTTATTTTGTACTGTTTATTTTACTTGATTGGTTGATTTATTTTATTGTGATGTTATTTTGTTGTTTATATTTTATGTTGCTGTAATGTATCACTGGGCTTGGCCTCATGTAAGCTGCTCCGAGTCCCATTTGGGGAGATGGTGGCGGGGTATAAATAAAGATTATTATTACTTTTCTTACTTACGTGATCCCTCGTAGTCCGAGGATGATGGTCCTCCAAGTGTAGTATCCTGGCGGTGGGTCCATAAGTGACTGTGGAGCCCTATTCTTGGTCTGTATCTTCTCCTGCAGTGAGGGCATCGGTTTCCAGTGGAAGGCGGTCCTGGTCCCGGTTGGCTTGATGCGCCTTCCTCTTGGCAGGTTTCTCTCTTTCGCCTTCCATTCGTGCCTCTTCAAATTCTGCAGCACTGCTGGTCACAGCTGACCTCCAGCTGGAGCGGTCAAGGGCCAGGGCTTCCCAGTTCTCAGTGTCTATGCCAGAGTTTTTAAGGTTGGCTTTGAGCCCATCTTTAAATCTCTTTTCCTGTCCACCAACATTCCATTTTCCATTCTTGAGTTCAGAGTAGAGCAACTGCTTTGGGAGACTGTAGTCGGGCATCTGGACAACATGGCCAGTCCAGCGGAGTTGATGCCAGAGGACCATCGTTCAATGCTGGTGGTCTTTGCTTCTTCCAGCATGCTGCCATTTGTCTGCTTGTCTTCCCAAGACATTTGCAGGATTTTTTGGAGGCAGCACTGATGGAATCCTTCTAGGAGTTGCATGTGACGTCTGTAGACTGTCCACGCCTCGCAGACGTACTGCAGGGTTGGGAGGACAATAGCTTTATAAACAAACACCTTGGTATCCTTACGGATGTCCTGGTCCTCAAACACTCTTTGCTTCATTCAGAAAAATGCTGCACTCACAGAGCTCAGGCGGGATGATGATGATGATGATGATGATGATGATGATGATGATGATGATGATGATGATCTGTTTTGGGGAAGCTCAAGTCTCTAGATGTTTTTTCAAAAAGCCCACGGTACCTCAATGGGCCACAAGGATACATGGTTGAATATTCTGTTGATAATGTAAGCATTATATTTTTGATCTTTATTGCCGTACAATGCCTGCATAGCTCTTGGCACAAGAAGCATTTTAACCAAGGTAAAAACTGACAAAAATACATTGTTATGGTACCAGGAGAATACATAATTAAAACAAAGGGATCATTACTAATGTTGGCCCTCCACATTTATGTATGAAGCATTCATGGATTTGATTATTCATCGCTTTCTGTATTTGCCGTTCCTTATTCTGCAGTCCTATCTCATGTTTAACAGGGCCTTCAGCGATGTGTCTGGCTTTAGACCTGGACATGGAACGGAAACAGCCTTGGTCGCCTTGGTAGATGATCTTCGCCGGGAGCTGGACAGGGAGAGTGTGTCCCTGTTAGTTCTGCTGGACCTCTCAGCAGCCTTTGATACTGTCAATCACGGTATCCTTCTGGGACGCCTCATAGATATGGGACTTGGGGGTACTGCTTTGCAGTGGCTCCAGTCCTTTCTTGAGGGACGGTCCCAGAAGGTGTTACTGGGTGACACCTGATCGGCCCCACAGCCGTTGTTGTGTGGAGTCCCTCAGGGTTCAATTCTGTCCCCAATGTTGTTTAACATCTACATGAAGCCGCTGGGGGAGATCATTCGGAGTTTCGGACTGAGGTGTTATCTCTACACAGATGATGTCCAGATCTGCCACTCCTTCTCACCTGTCACCAAGGAGGCTGTCCAGACCTTGAATTGGTGTCTAGCTGGTGTGTCGGACTGGATGAGAGCTAACAAATTGAAACTGAATCCAGACAAGACAGAGGTCCTACTGGTCAGTCGCAAGGCCGAACAGGGCATAGGGTTGCAGCCTGTGCTGGACGTGGTTACACTCCTCCTGAAGACTCAGGTTCGCAGCTTGGGAGTGATCCTGGACTCATCACTGAGCCTGGAACCCCAGGTTTCAGCGGTGACTGGGAGAGCTTTTGCACAACTAAAACTTGTGCACCAGTTGCGCCCGTACCTTGGGAAGTCTGATCTGGCCACAGTGGTCCACGCTCTTGTTACATCCTGAATAGACTACTGCAATGCACTCTACGTGGGGTTGCCCTTGAAGACTGTTCGGAAACTTCAACTGGTCCAGCGAGCGGCAGCCAGATTACTCACCGGAGCGACATACAGGAAGCATACCACCCCCCTGTTGTGTCAGCTCCACTGGCTGCCAGTTCAGTTCCGAGCACAATTCAATGTGCTGGTTTTGACCTATAAAACCCTTTACGGTTCCGGTCCAGTGTATCTGTCCGAATGCATCTCCCTCTACGTCCCACCCTGGAATCTGAGATCATCTGGGGAGGCCCTGCTCTCGACCCCACCTCTATCACAAGTGAGGCTGGTGGGGATGAGGAGCAGGACCTTCTCAGTGGTGGCCCCTCACCTGTGGAACTCACTCCCGGGGGAAATTAGGGCATCAACATCCCTCCTCTCCTTCAGGAGGAAGGTAAAGACGTGGTTGTGGGACCAGGCCTTTGGGCAATCTGACAATTAGATATGGACAACCAGATGGATAGGACTGAAAGGAACTGACAATTGTGGACTGGAATTTGAACTATGAGATTGCGAAACGCTGACCGTCAATGAGAAGAATGGTTTGTATTGGTTTTATTGCTTTTACTGGTTTTATGGTTGTTTTTGTCTTACAATAATTATTGTCTCTGTTAATTGATGTTATTGCTAGAATTGCTGTTTCTGTTAACTGATGTTATTTGTTTTATTGCTGTTATGTGATGCTGGCATCGAATTGTGCCTTGCTTTTGTAAGCTGCCCTGAGTCCTCTCCGTGGTGAGAAGGGCGGGGTAGAAGCAACCGAAATAAATAAATAATAAAACTCTTAATTTTATGACCAGGTCCTATCCTAAATTTCAGATTTTGCCCAGAAACCTCAGAGTCTGAGACAAACCTAAACTGGTAATCATAGTTGGGAATATATAAGAATAAGTTTGAGGGAGACTATTCCAAGAGAATGATAAAGTATTTATGATAAAGGAAGTGGACAGCTGGAATCTACAGGGAAATGGACAGAGAGGGGAGTTTCTAATGGCCAGCGGTGAGGATCTGAGGATGGCTAGAATTGATTGATTAGTCTGCAATAATCTGTGTCATCTGATTGTTCCCTCTCTTATTCCACTTTGAACCAAATGGCAGATGGCAGATCAATACGGAGACATTTATACTTTGTGGGCAGGACATATACCTATGGTATTCATGAATGGAGTCGAAGCTGTGAAAGAAGGACTCACCATGGAAGAATTTTCAGATCGGTTACAGAGCCCATATATTAAAACTCTATCAAGAGAAAAGGGTAAGTTACAAAGAGTTGTACCAGGCGTCTCCTCAGAGAAACAATAAGAGAACACATTCATGGAATGCTTCTTTGTATATATAAAAAAAGACTTCTGGAAACAGCAAGTCTGTTGTGTTTGCTGCGAGTCAGCATGGTGTACTGTCTGGTTTTCATGACAGACTATGAACTTTATTACACAGGTGATAAAGTTCAATTATGAGAGGATAAAAGTGCCTTTCAATGGAACTTAGCACATGACATCATGTCTCTTCCATAGTCATTATGTTTGAATAATGATTCAATCATTTATTTGCAATGACAATGTGTGGGTTTGTGGAATGGAGAATCAATATTATAGTTTTTCCATCATTCTTCCTTGTGCAATAATGTCTTTCCACTGCAGTCCCAAGATTGCAGTCCCTATGAGGAGCGGCTTAAGGAGCTGGGCATGTTTAGCCTGAAGAAGAGAAGGCTGAGAGGAGATATGATAGCCATGTATAAATATGTGAGAGGAAGCCACAGGGAGGAGGGAGCAAAGCTTGTTTTCTGCTTCCCTGGAGACTAGGACGCAACAGAACAATAGCTTCAAACTACAAAGGAGATTCCATCTGAACATGAGGAAGAACTTCCTGACTGTGAGAGCTTCAGCAGTGGAACTCTCTGCCCCGGAGTGTGGTGGAGGCTCCTTCTTTGGAAGCTTTTAAACAGAGGCTGGATGGCCATCTGTCAGGGGTGATTTGAATGCAATATTCCTGCTTCTTGGCAGGGGGTTGGACTGGATGGCCCATGAGGTCTCTTCCAACTCTTTGATTCTATGATTCTATGATTCTATGATTGTAAAGCAGAGGAAAGTCTTGTGAAAATACTACTGTGCAGTTGTGGCAAAATAAGGGGAGGAAGAAAAAGGTGCTGAGTAGGACAAACATAATAGGAAATAAAGCTGTGTCAAACAGCTCTTACCATCTGGATGTTCTTCCTAATGCTCTTTTCCTGTCGTTTGAATCCAATGCACTGTGTTCCTGTCTTTATTTTTGGCTATCAAACAGAGCCCAGTAGCTGCTACAGAAGTTTATTTACAAAAGGCATATACAAAATGGAAAAGGGGCATTTCCCAAAAGACAGTAGAAAAGGTGCTATAAAATAGCAATAGTCAAAAATATAAATAGTCTGCAGTTGCAATGCCCATGGAATCCTAGGTAGCAAGAAACATGAAATCTACAATAGCAAGGTGCATGAAGTCCAAAATAGCAAAGTACATGAAAATGCAAGAAGTCATAGCACAGCCATAAATCCATAAATCCATAGCATGAAAACCAGAACTTAAGCAAGGCAAAAATCCATACAGGAACATAGGCCGTGAAAGTGATTTCAAAACAAAGTTGTCTGCTCTAAAGAGCCCAGTGAAACAACATCTAATTTAAGCTCAGACTTGACCCAACAAACATGAAATCATCTTTTCTAAACCTGTGTTTCAACGACTGTTTCTCAAAAATTATTTCTGACCTTCCAATTAACCTTTCTTTAGCTTGATCTGAGCTGAGCTCTTATATTATGGGGCAATTTCCCATCTTCTGAAGGCTGAGAAGACTGGGCACACTGGTTATCGAGAGAACCATCTTCGATCTCTCTCTGGCCGGTCTCTGTGATTTATGGCCCACATTTCTGTATGTGTTTCAGTCACAGATTCAGTGAAAGCTCATCCTCAGAATCATAGAATCACAGAATCATAGAGTTGGAAGAGACCTCATGGGCCATCCAGTCCAACCCCCTGCCAAGAAACAGGAATATAGCATTCAAAGCACCCTTGACAGATGGCCATCCAGTCTCTGTTTAAAAGCTTCCAAAGAAGGAGCCTCCATCACACTCCGGAGCAGAGAGTTCCACTGCTGAACAGCTCTCACAGTCAGGAAGTTCTTCCTCATGTTCAGATGGAATCTCCTTTCTTGTAGTTTGAAGCCATTTTTCTGTGTCCTAGTCTCCAGGGAAGCAGAAAACAAGCTTGCTCCCTCCTCCCTGTGGCTTCCTCTCACATATTTATACATGGCTATCATATCTCCTCTCAGCCTTCTCTTCTCAGGCCCAGCTCCTTAAGCCGCTCCTCATAGGGCTTGTTCTCCAGACCCTTGATCATTTTAGTCGCCCTCCTCTGGACACATTCCAGCTTGTCAATATCTCTCTTGAATTGTGGTGCCCAGAATTGGACACAATATTCCAGGTGTGGTCTAACCAAGGCAGAATAGAGGGGTAGCATGACTTCCCTAGATCTAGACACTATGCTCCTATTGATGCAGGCCAAAATCCCATTGGCTTTTTTTTTGCCACCACATGACATTGTTGGCTCATGTTTAACTTGTTGTCCACGAGGACTCCAAGATCTTTTTCACACGTACTGCTCTCGAGCCAGGCGTCCCCCATTCTGTATCTTTGCATTTCGTTTTTTCTGTCTAAGTGGAGTATCTTGCATTTGTCACTGTTGAACTTCATTTTGTTAGTTTTGGTCCATCTCTCTAATCTGTCAAGATCATTTTGAATTCTGCTCCTGTCCTCTGGAGTATTGGCTATCCCTCCCAATTTGGTGTCATCTGCAAACTTGATGATCATGCCTTCTAACCCTTCATCTAAGAACACATCCAGGAACTGGTTTGAGACTGGGACAGTGGCCACAGTATTTACCCATTGCAGATTAACCGAACCCAGGAACATTTTTTCCTTGCTCAGTCCCCCAAAATGTGCTGATGCATATATCCAGCAGTCATATCCAACAGCCACCAGCTCTTGCTTTCAAGGCTGTGATATTCCTACTCTATTGCTTCTCAGATCCCCAGAGGCTTTTGGAGATTTTGAGATTTCAGAATTCTTTACAGAGAAGACTCAATGTATATGTTTTAGGTTTTGGAATTATGTACAATATCTGGATGCACTTGTGTTCTGTCATGCACTGGGCCTGTAATAATTGTCTTTTGAATAGGACGTGCACTTTGTGCCCAGCGGGAAGCCAGGGTGCCCTGAAAGAGAGGCCCTCAAGGATTTTCCTGTACAAAAGACTTTAAATGGCTTGAAAGGTTTAACAAAGTCCTTTATTATTGAACAAATTAAACAGATACTTCTCAAATCTTCAATGAGTCAAACAAATGCTTCAAGGCTTTGAATCGACTGGTGGCTTTCTTAATCTTCTCCACAAGGGACAGGCAACTTGATTCGTTAACTGCTCTTTCTCTTTAAAAGGAAAACCCTTTTTTAACCTCTCCCAGGCTGTCTACTATCTAGACTTTGCTGATGTGGATTCTACTACCGGATCCAAACCGCTTCTTGGGCACTGAGTAGACCTACCAGTCAAGGCTTGTAGATTCTCCAGCTGGAGTTCTTTGGGTCTGTAAAGCTGTTTTTCCCCTGCATTTCTTCAGAAACTTTAGGGCTGTTTCCCTCAGATGCTGTAAGGCTGAGAGGCTGTAAGTTCCCAGCCAGAGCTTTGGGACTGTTCCCCCGGAATTTCTGTTTCCCTGGATTTCTTAAGAAATGTAACTTTTCTGCAGGTGAAGCTGGCCCACGTCCTCTAGCTTAGTTTCCTTCTGTAAGACTGAATTAAAAATGGCTCCCTTTCCCTCCCATAGCCCTGAAAAAGGGGCGGAACCAAACTTAACAATGATAGACAGGCGGCTAGCCCTATGACTGCAAACCAAGGGAAGCCACCTTTTTGCAGAATCCCTGAAACCTTGGAATGCATGCAAACACTTAATAGAAAGAAGATGAAGGTGGAGCTCCTGGTACAGCCCCACCAGCACAACTGGCATGGTCTGTAGTAAAGCTTGAATTCTTAATATAGCAAGTTAGCCAAATATCACTTGTATTTTCTGAGTAATAATTGAATATTGATTCCTAATGTCCTTAGGTATTGGATTTTCAAACGGTCTTATCTGGAAGCAGCAGAGACGTATTGGCCAAGCTACGATGCGGAAGTTAGGAGTTGGAAAAAAAAGTGTGGAGGCACAAATAGAAGCAGAAGTCCAGCAGCTTATAGAGGTTTTTTCACGCAAGAAAGGTATGTCATATTAGGAAATGACACTGGGAGGAGGTGTGTCAGCCTGCAGAGATCTTTGTGTGGTCTGTACTTCTCTCTGTTGTGGAATTTGTTACATCCTTGTTGATTTCTAATATGAGAACAAGTAGAGATTCCAATTGTTCTTTTCTCCAAAAGGAAATCTAATTCAGAATCTTAAGACAATTGAACTGATATTAACAGAACTTCATTTGTAGGTGAGCCGTTTGATCCAGCATTGGCCACCACCAATTTGGTGTGCAATGTGATATGTGCCCTGACTTTTGGACACCGGTTTCCCCTTGAAGATGGACGCTTCAGGGAACTGATTGATGCCATTGAGTATATCTTCAAAGTTGGAGGAACTCCCTTTCATATAGTAAGTCAAGATTGTTTTCCCTCCTCTTCCATTAATTCAAATAGAACTTCCAAAGATACAAAGTCCTCAGAAACATTCAGAAAACCTTTACATTGCAATAAATTCCACAGAGGCAAATCCCCAAAGCCTAAATTAAGGAAGTTAATATTTGACTATTTCATTCTTTCTTTTGTAGCATAATTGTTATTCAAAAAATCTTAATGAAACAGTGATCATAGAACAAATAAACAAGATTTTGTGTTATATATTCTTTTTTTTTTAAACTTATTTGTGTTAGTCATTTCCAAATAGTTTTTCCAAAGGGTGTGGTAGGAAAAAGGGAATGGATAGGGTACTCGTATTACTGTTAGTCCACGCTCTGGTTACATCCCACATAGACTACTGCAATGCGCTCTATGTGGGTTTGCCTCCAGCGTGTGGCATCCAGGTAACTAACGGGAGCTGCGCTCAGGTAGCATACAACTCCTCTGTTGCACCAGCTTCATTGGCTGCCAGTTTGCTACGGGACACGATTCGAAGTGCTGGCGTTAGCCTATAAAGCCCTAAACGGTTGCAGCCCAGCTTATCTGTCCGAACACAACTCCTCCTATGAACCTTCTAGACATTTAAGATCGTCTGGGGAGGCCCTGCTCTTGATCCTGCCCACCTCACAGGCACATCTAGCGGGGATGAGAGACAGGGCCTTCTCAGTGGTGGCACCACACCAGAATCCAGTGATCCAATAAGAGAATGTTTCTTAAAGAAAGAATATAAGAAAGGAAGAGGGAGAAATCCACCAGAGTCAGTACATATTCTGCTGTTGAATGGGTTAACTATACATTTTGAATTTCTGGATCTTTCTTTGATCTTTCACTGTTCCTGCTATGGTCCCAGGGCAGCATCACAGGCAAAGAGCCAGGTGCTCTCTGTCTATACCAGATACACACACGCAATGTGAGAATGCCAAGATATAGACGGGGTGGGATGGAGAGCATATACACTTGAAAATTCTGATATTTTACCAGGAGTATGGTGGCATACCAAATCACCTTGTCTTTCTACTGAGGAATCTGTATAAGGACCAAGTAGCAACAGTAAGAACTACCATGGAACAACACACTGGTTCAAGATTGGGAAAGGCGTATGGCAGGGTTGTATACTCTCACCTAACCTATTCAACCTGTATGCAGAACACATCATGCGATGTGCATGGCTTGACAAATGCAAAGCTGGGGTGAAAATTGCTGGAAGAAACATTAACAACCTTAGATATGCAGATGACACCACTTTGATGGCCGAAAGCGAGGAGGAGCCGAGGAGCCTTCTAATCAAGGTGAAAGAAGAAAGCGCAAAAGCTGGGTTGCAGTTAAACATCAAAAAAACCAAGATTATGGCAACAAGAATGATTGACAACTGGGAAATAGAGGGAGAAAACATGGAGGCCGTGACAGACTTTGTATTTAGGTGCAAAGATGTCTGCAGACGCAGACTGCAGCCAGGAAATCAGGAGATGCTTACTTCTTGGGAGGAGAACAATGACCAATCTCGATAAAATAGTGAAGAGTACAGAAATCACACTGGCGATGAAGATCCGCATAGTCAAAGCAATGGTATTCCCCATAGTCAGCTACGGATGTGAGAGCTGGACCATAGGAAAGGATATCCTCTCTAAATGCCCAACGGGATGCCAGGGTGCCTCAGCTGAGAGGCCATATGAATTTCCTTATACAAAGTATTTAGAGGCTTAGAAAGTTTAACAAAGCTCTTTATTGTTGCTTAAATCTTCAACAAATCAATCAAATACTTCTTAGATCTTCAACAAATCAAATACTTCAAAACTCTGGAAAACTGGTGGCTTTCCTAACTTGCCCACAAGGGAGAGGCAACTTGCTTCATGAACTGTTTCTTTCTTCTATAAGGGAAATCCAATCTGTTTTAGGCTTTGCTGGCATGGGGCCCCTACTCCTGGCTTCAAAGCGCTGCAGCTCGCCCGAGTGGTCCTTACCAGGCGAAGTCTCTGTGTAGATTTTCCAAGACGAAGGAAGTCTTTTCCAGCAAGGCTGGCTGTTTTTCCCTATTTTCCAGCGAAGGCTGGCTGTAGAGCTGTGGAACTACATTCACCTGGCAAGAGCTGTGAGACTGTATTCCTCAGCAAAGGCTGTGGGGCTGTAATTTCCCCAGCAAAAGCTGTGAGAAACAAAGGTTTCTACAGGTGGGAGAAATTCACATGTTCTGTATGAAAGGCTTCACTGTACAAACTGAACTAGAGATCCCCTTTTCCTCTCCAAACCTGGAAAAAGGGGTGGAACTAAAGAATTTAACGATGATTGATGGGTCGTTGGCCCTATGATTGCAACCTGGAGGAAGCTGCCAAATTGCAAAATGCATGTCCTAAAGGAATTCATGCAAAGAAGCAAAGAAAGAAAAAGGAAGTTGAAGTTCCTGGCACAACCGTGCCAGCACAAAGTTTTCATACAGTCACTGCATATGGCAGGGACATGGCCACCACCATTTTTGAGCTCTCCCCATCATATGCAGCAACCACAGATACTCCAATCCGGATTGGAAGTTTCAACACCCGCTCTATAAGATAACTCCCAGTGTATAGGACTTCTCCCGCGTATAAGACGACTCCTCTTGCAACCCAGAGCAGGAAACGAGGCCCTAAGATAACCATCCACCACACTTGACTGTGAAAAACAATCCTTTTTTATTGAAGAAAAATGGTTACAAAATAAAGGAAAAATGCAAAGTCAAAAGCCACAGCAAAATCAGCAAACATGAATGTCCATGAACAAGATCAAAATCCAAAGCCACACTGTAAAATACTGGAACCTGTTAGCAATCCACTAACCATACTTGGTGTCCTAGAAATTTCTCAAGACGATGGCCAAGGAAACCGGAAGAATTGCCAAGGTACTCATCAATCTAAAACGATGCCTGAACTGAGAAAGTCAGCCCAGCGAAAGGCCCTTAAAGCCGAAGAATTGGTTCCGTGATGCGCCTCCCTGCTTTGAAGCCCTTGTTTGTTTTTCTTTTAATCTCGACGACCTTCGCAAGCTGAGTGATTCACTCCTGTCTTGCCAGATCTGCCCCCTTCTATTCTCATTAGGGATCCCAGGTGCAGAAGGGAGTGAAAGGTCATTGCTTCCCTCCGAAACATTCTCATGAACACTGCCACTTTCATTTTCCAAATCTGCAGAAGCTTCTTCCTCACTAATTTCAGGTGCATTGTCACTAATTTCAGGATCATTGACAACAGGAAGTACATTTTCATTCGCATCAGGAAGTACATTTTCATTAGCATCAGGAAGTACATTTTCATTAGCATCAGTAAATATATTTTCATTAGCATCAGGAGGTACAAACAGAGAATCAGGTTCAAACTCAGGCTGAACCCCAACAACTCCTGAGTATAAGGCTACTCCTGCACATAAGATTACTCCCACGTATAAGTCAACCACTGACTTTTGCAAAGATATAAGTAGTCTTATATGCTAGAAAATACGGTAGTTATCTCAAAACCACCTGTGTGTGTCAAACTTGCTTTGGTTAACAGACTGTGTTTTCTTACCTCCTCCAGACTAATGATAGGCTTTCACTTCCATTTGTTGCAGTTGTATGAAGTGCTCCCATCGGTCATGGACCACCTTCCAGGGCCTCACAAGAAGGCACTTCAAGCCACGGAGATGGTGGTTTCCTTAGCACGTGAAGAAATACAGAGGCATAAGGAGCAGCAGTCCACTCATGAGCCACAGGATTTCATTGATTTCTACCTTCTTGAAATGGAGAAAGTAAATATCTGCTTTATATCTAATCAGGAGGAGAGACAGAGGCAGTTCAGACAAGGAAGAAGCAGGGTTGTTGCGAGTTTTCTGGGTGATGTGGCCATGTTCCAGAAGCATTCTCTCCTGACGTTTCGCCCACATCTATGGCAGGCATCCTCTGACGTTGTGAGGTCTGTTGGAAACTAGGAAGATGGGATTTATATATCTGTGGAAAGTCCAGGGTTGGAGAAGGAACTCTTGTCTGTTGGAGGCAAGTGTGAATGTTGCAGTTGGCCAGCTTGTTTAGCTTTGAATGGTCTTGCAGCTCCAAGATCTGGCTGCTTCCTGCCTGGGTGAATCCTTTGTTGGGAGGTGATTATCTGCCTCTGATAATTCCCCTGTTTTGAGTGTTGTTCTTTATTTACTGTTATAACTTTAGAGGTTTTTTTAAAAATACTGGTAGCCAGATTTTGTTCATTTTCATTGTTTCCTCCTTTTTGTTGAAGTTGTCTACATGCTTGTAGATTTCAGTGGCTTGTCTGTGTAATCAGACATGGTAGTTGTTAGAGTGGTCCAGCATTTCTGTGTTCTCAAATAATATACAGTGTTCTGTTATGGCTGATTTCTCTGTTGAATTAGTCTGTAGTACCTTTCATGTTCCTTGATTTATGTTTGGGCGATGCTCTGTTTGGTGGTCCCTATGTAGACTTGTCCACAGCTGCATGGTATACGGTAAAGTCCTGTATCAGTGAGAGGATCCCTCTTGTCCTTTCCTGAACAATCAGGGCTAGCTAATCACCGCCCAACAACACATTCCCCTGGGCATTAAGAAGCCAGACCTTGAAACTGCTAGGCCATTAAATACTAATCAAGGGGGCAATTGCAACATTCATACCTACCTCAAACAGACAAGAGTTCTTTCTTCCACTCTGGACATTCCACAGATATATAAACTCATAGGAACCCAGTGATTCTGGCCATGAAAGCCTTCAACAATACAAGGAAAATGTAACTGGTCCCAACTTGCAAAAAGTAGAAACAAAGGTGTACTCACAGATGATGTGTATCTTCTTCCTTTCCCTGTGTATCTTCTTCCTCTCTCCTTCCCATTGAGCAGAGCATAGCGGGTGAATCAGATTCAGGTCGGTCACAATTTGAGCATTATTAGACTGAGTCTTTTATAGAAATATTCTGTTGATGTAGTTCCAAACCTGTAAATTAATGATAGATGTCTTCTATCCTGGCTCCATCTCAGTTTCCTGGCCAGATGTTGATTCTACTTAATTGGTGTTGATCTTATGTTGACTTCCTTCTTAACATAAGGAATTTTGCAGACATTTCTGTTATCACTGTCCCAATTCTTATCAGAGTTTACTCTTCAGATCTCATTAACAGGTTTTAATCACAAAGCAGCAAGCAGGTAATTAGTCATTGCAGGCCTTAATATTTTATGTTTCCAAAATTATTAGCTCCACATACATCCTTCCATTCTTCCATTCATTCCCACACATAATTATTAAATTCATATTTGTCAAATCTGCACATTGCATTTCTTGTGACACCCAGAGTAGCTGCATTTTTCTTTTCTGGTTTGCTTTCTCCTCCTTACTTTCCCTATCCTAAGTGGCAGCAGCTTGAAACTTTTACTCCAGCTTGAAACTTTTGATCAAAATAGCTCCTTGCATTTGGACTGAAAGCAGCATTCGTGAATTGAAACTATAGTTTCATTTACCTCTGTCTCTAATGCCCATGGATGTAAGAATTTTTTTGGAATTCAGTTATCAAACTTGATTTGATGCTAGGATAATATGGAGCTATAGAAGTAGGGGCTAAAGTTCCCTCATGGAATCAGATCCTGTCTGATCCTGGACACAAAGCAGGATCATCCCTGGTTAGCAGTTGGATATGAAACTGCCTACAAATATCACGTACTATAGGCTATGTTTTATTTATTTTTTTGTATAAATTTTTATTGAGGGTTTTTTTTATAGTGAGGGTTAAAAGAGATGGGAAAGAAAGTGGGATAGAAAGGAGTGAGGGATAGGGGGAGGTTGGAATCACGGTAGATGGGGAGGGGGGAATAGGAATTTGGGAGAGAAGGGTGAAGGTTCTCGGGTAGGGAGGATAGGGTGGGGAAAAAAGGGATGCGGGTAAGTGGGGAGAAAGAAAGATGCTGGCTTCCAGTCGTCTCCATCTTTGGCTTCTGGTCTCTTTGTTTGGGTGTTCGAATCGTAGGTGGCTGACCCGCTTGCATCTTGTCTTGTAATATTGTTGTGTTTTGGCATTATTATTATGTTTTTATTATCCTTTTATAGTTTTTTTTTAATTAAATAGTTTCTTACTGGGGACCAATCTGTTCTTGTTATCTTCATCTTTTGATTCGCCTTCATCAGATGGGTCAATCTGTCCATGTTCATGATGTCAACTATCTTAAGTAACCACTGTTCTTGTGTAGGGATCTCCTTAGTTCTCCAAAATCTCGCATAACAAATTCGGGCTGCAGTTATTAGGTAGTTGAAAAGTTTTTCTTTGTTGGTTTCCAGGTCTGTCTCTGTGATTCCTAATAGAAAGAGTTCCGGCTTTAGTTCGATCTTTATTTCGATCGATTATTCCATGTAGTTCTTTCCAAAAGGATTTTGCAATTCTGCATGACCACCACATGTGGAAAAAGGAGCCTTGTTGTTCTTCACATTTCCAGCAGAGATCTCTTACATTTGGGTAGCATCTAACCCAGTGGTTCTCAACCTGGGGTCCCCAGATGTTTTTGGCCTACAACTCCCAGAAATCCCTGCCAGTTTACCAGCTGTTAGGATTTCTGGGAGTTGTAGGCCAAAAACATCTGGGGACCCCAGGTTGGAACCACTGATCTAACCAATTTTTGAGGTGTGATGTACCACCTGTACATCATCTTCATCCAGTTTTCTCTGAGGTCCATTGCGTAAGTGTATCTTATATTTTTATTCCAGATTTTTTCCCAATGGTCAAGATTGATTGGGTGGCCAATATTTTCTGCCCATTTGGTCATGCAATCTTTAATTAGTTCGGTCTCCGTAGACCATTCTAATAGTTTCTTATAAATTTTTGTTATTAGTTTATTTTCTGAAGTCAGGATTTTGTCCCATGGGTAATCTTTTCCCGTAAATCCGATCTTCTTATCCTTTAGGTAGGTTTCTCTAATTTGTGCATGTTGGATCCACGAGATACTTGTATCTAATAGTTTTAGTTCTTCTTGGGTTTTTAATACCAATTCGGCGCTTTGTTTTTTCAAGATGTCTTTATATGTTAACCAAGTTTTTTGTGGATTTTCTCTTCTATGTATAGCCTCTTGAGGTGATAGCCAGAGTGGGGTCTTGTTATAAAATCTTTCCTTATATTTTTCCCATATCTTTATGAGGGCAGATCTGATAAAATAGTTGCCGAAGTTCCTTTCCGTTTTCCTTCTCTGATACCATAAATAAGAATGCCATAGGCTATGTTTTAGAGCAGCCATATAGGAGAACCCTACTCAGAGGTAGGTATGATAATTCCTCTAGAACAGGCATGGGCAAACTTGGGTCCTCCAGTTATTTTGGACTCCCAGAAATCCTAGCCAGCTTATCAGCTGTTAGGAATTGTGGGAGCTGAAGTCCAAAACACATGGAGGACCAAAGTTTGCCCATGCCTGTTTTAGAGGAAGGAATGATCAGACCTACCTCTGAGTAGGGTTCTCCTATATCAACAGGCAACTTGAAGAAATTCACACACAGGGAGAAATATAAATACAACATTGAGGGGCGTGTGGCTTTATGATTAACAACAACAACAACAACAACAACAACAACAACATCAACAGTGTATTTATATTCTGCCCTATCTCCCCAAAGGGACTCAGGGTGAATCAAATACATAGCAAACATTCAGTGCCATTTTGAATAGACAGGACAGAAACAGACAGAACAGAAAGGAGGTATTTTGTGTTGACGTCCAGCTTTTTTGGCGCCTACAAGGTTGTGCTCGAATCCAGCCACAGGGAGGTGCTGTTGTTCCCTCCTCTATGACCAGAGGTGGCCCTAGGTAATTTTCAACGGTAAGCAAACAGTATTTTGGCGCCCCCCCCTCCCCAACCAATCACTGATATATATTCGTCGTGGGAGTTCTGTGTGCCATATTTGGTTCAATTCGTTCATTGCTCTTTGATTGTAGGTGAACTATACATCCCAGTAACTATAACTTGTATATGTCAAGGTCTGTTTTCCCCCAAGAGCACCTCAAGAGCACCCCTGGGCAAAATCAACTATACTGCAAATGCTTACTTTGTGTAATGGGTTGAGCCGCCCCTGTCTATGACCAAGAGCCATCAGGACTTCCTCTTTCCTTTTGGTTGCTGGGCATATTCTGATCTTTTTCTTTATGGTGTTGTAAAATACCTGCCCCGCTTGTTTTAGCAGTACCTAATTTCTCTACATACAGCTCAAGCTGTTTTCGAACTGCTTAGGAAAAAAGTAAGCGGGGCTGACAGTTGGGTGCTCACACCGACTCAGGGCTTCAAATTGGCAGCCTTTTGGTTGGTAGATCTTATAATTGCTGGTGATTTGCCAGCTTTGCTAAAGCCCGGCCCAAGCTGGTTTGAGTCTCTTTTATGGAGAGAAAAAGTAGGATAAAAATTATCATCATCCTCATCATCAATTATACTTCTTCTTTCACATTTTCAGGAGAAGACGAAGCACGATCCTACCTCTACATATGATGAAGAAAACCTGGCTCAGAGTATTCACGACTTCTTTATCGGTGGAACAGAAACAAGTGCTACTACTATGAAATGGACATTCATCCTTTTGGCAAACCGTCCAGAAGTCCAAGGTAAAAAAAAAGCAAGAAAAACAAGGGGCTGCTCCTGATTCTTGCAGTTGGGAATCACAGAGATTTACAGCCTGCGATAGACTCACAAATTTATATGGATAGACTCAAAAATACTTGATTATTTATTGTTTTTCAAATAAACTCTAATTTTCAAAACGAAGCTTCCTCCCATTTCCATCTATTTCTTCAGATAAAATCGTCAAGGAAATAGAGAACCTTTTGGGTGATGCTTCCACCTGCTATGAAGATATTAGGAAGATGCCTTTCACTAACGCTGTGCTTCATGAGATTCAGCGGTACAGATATTCCATGCTAATGGGAGTTGGAAGGCAAGCTACCAAAGATGTGAAAATAAAAGGTTATACCATCCCAAAGGTATGGATTGTCGTTTTGACTGCATTCCCGAGAATGAGGAAGTTCACAGGATGGCATTTTGAGAGGTGTAGCCACACAAACAAAGCCAGTGCAGGGTAGTGATGTGAGCACTGAAGCATGAGTTTGGAGACCAAAATTTGAATCCCCATTTGGCCATGGAAACCCGTTGCTGACCTTGGGAAAGACACACTCTTTGCCTCAGAAGAAGGCAAAGCACGTTCCCATAAACACATTTTCCCATAATGAGTTCACCTTAACTGTTTTTGTGAGTCTTCATTTCCCACTTATAGGGGGAAATATTATTACTATGGGTTTTTTTATTTGTTCAAAGGAATTTGTATCCCAGTTTGCTACCAGGCACAATTCAAAATGCTGGCTTCTAGGACATTAAGATCTTCTGGGGAGGCAGTGCTCTTGGTCCCGCTTTACTCACAGATGCATTTGGCGGAGACGAGACACAGGGCCTTCTCAGCAGCGGCCCCTTGACTGTGGAACGCCCTGCCTAGAGAGATAAGATCTGCTCCTTCCCTCCTGACTTTTTGAAGAATGGTGAAAACCTGGCTTTCTGAACAGGCCTTCCTAAATACGGCATTGATATATGATATCGTGCAACCACTGACGATGCAACTGGACAATGATTTGATATGGAGACGCTTTGATAATGTCTTTAAGGCTTTGTACGGTTTTATATTTTTATATTGTTTGCTAGTATTTAAATTGTATTTTATGATTTTTTAATTGTTGTAATTGTTTTGGTATCAAATTGTTGCCGATTATTAACTGCTCTAATTCGCCCATTGGCTGAGAGGGGCAGTATATAAATGTGGTAAATAAATACCCAGATAGCCATTTTTGTTCCACAGCCAAAAAAGTGCAGCTAGATCCATCCCATTGGCAGCAGTGGAGAACTTATGAAGTTCCCCTTTCCATTCCTGGGACCGTTTCCTTTCTTCCCTTCAAGGGAACCTGGGTTTCAGCAACAGAGTTACGGGAGCAGACAGAGCCTGCGTAAGACATGTCATGGCATTCTTCTATTCCAATTGCCCCAACGAGCAGTGCTCACCAGGAAACTTTGTGCGAGGAGGAGCATGCGGCAGCAGCCTCTTTATGCACCCTGTGCTCCCAAAAAGGGGAGGAGGAGCTGTTTGCTGTGATTGGCTGCCAAGTGATCCCATCATGGACGGGAAATCGTGATGGCTGGGCCCTTGCCGTTATGGCCAGCCTACCAAGCTGAAGAAACCGAAATTGGCCAAAGTCGTACGGCTTAAACGGATTTACGTACAAGCCTAGTTAGAAGAGTGATGTAACACAACCATCAAATTATTGAGTGCAGATTTAATTTATGCAGGCATGATGTACAATCTCATCAATAGCAAAATGTATGGTAGTGCTATGACTGGCTTTCCCACTGAATCCTCAGTTCTAAGAGAGATGTATTTATTTGCTAATTGTTTCTGTCTTCCAGGGGACATTTGTTATGCCCAATCTACGCTCAGCTCTTCTTGATCCTAATCACTGGAAGACTCCTGACGAATTCAATCCTGATCATTTTTTGGACAAGGATGGGAATTTTGTTCCAAAAGACGGGTTTCTGGCATTTGGTGCAGGTAAAAGTCCTGGGTGGCATTGGGCAGATCACAGTCCCTCAGCATCAGGAGAAAGCAAAAGCAATTTACCCTTCCCTGAACAAATCTTTCCAATAGATCCCTACTGGAGCCCCCGGTGGCGCAGTGGGTTAAACCCCTGTGCCGGCAGGACTGAAGACCGACAGGTCGCAGGTTCGAATCCAGGGAGAGGCGGATGAGCTCCCTCTATCAGCTCCAGCTCTTCATGCGGGGACATGAGAGAAGCCTCCCACAAGGATGATAAAAACATCAAATCATCCAGGCGTCCCCTGGGCAACGTCCTTGCAGACGGCCAATTCTCACACCAGAAGCGACTTGCAGTTTCTCAAGTCGCTCCTGACACGACAAAAAAAAAAAAGATCCCTACAATAGGGTAACATTGTAAGTCCAATCGATTTGAAAGCACACAACAACAGGCTAGAGACAGATATTTGAAACTGCATTATATGGCAGTGTAGATGGGTCCTGAGGCAACCTAACCCACTCTTGAGCAGCACATACAACCTCCTTAATGCTCAGGCAGCATCTCTTCTCAAATTCAAGGTACAGGTGATGACCTATAAAGCCCTAAACGGTTTGGGCCCCGCCTAGCTTTGCGATCGTATCTCCCTCTATGAACCGGCGCGAACTTTAAGATCTTCTGGGGAGGCCCTCCTCTTGCTCCCACCACCGTCACAAGCACGGTTGGTGGGGACAAGAGAGAGGGCCTTCTCGGTGGTGGCCCCCCTGCCTTCCTAGAGAAATAAAATAGGCCCCATCTCCCCTTTCGTAAGAGCTTGAAAACCTGGTAGTTTAAACAAACCTTTGAGAATGACTAGTTCTAACTCAGCCCCAGATATTGTTGAATATGGCCATATCTTTTTATACCAGTTATCCAGGTTACTTCCTCCTGTTAGAACCTGGAAATGAACAGCCATAGACTATACCTATTATTCTTGTTGCCTGCTATAGCATTGACTTAATTTCCTAGGCCCACTAGAAATTACGCTAGACTTGAACAGGCAGGATTATTTTAAATATATATGTGCTATTGTGATTTTTTATGCTTATATTGCTTTGTTAATTTTATGTTTATGTTGTTTACTCTGTATGTATTGATGATGTTACTTGGAAACCGCTCTGAGTCCCCTCAGGGAGATAGAGCGGTATATAAATAAAGTTTTGTTGTTGTTGTTATTGTTGTTGTTGTTGTTATAATTTGAATCTGATGGGTTACTTTAAGGGTGGTCAATGGCTTACCCATGCATAGTCCTGAACCGGTGCTTGGCTGCTGTAATGGACTGGATGAGGGCCAACAGATTGAAACTAAATCCAGACAAGACAGAGGTACTCCTGGTCAGTCGAAAGGCCAAACAGGGCATAGGGTTACAGTCTGTGCTCGATGGGGTTACACACCCCTGAAGGCGCAGGTTCGCAGCTTGGGAGTGATCCTGGACTCATCGCTGAGCCTGGAACCTCAGGTCTTGGCAGTGGTCAGGGGAGCTTTTGCACAATTAAAACTCGTGCACCAGCTGCGCCCGTACCTTGGAAGTCTGACTTGGCCACGGTGGTCCACGCTCTGGTTACATCCCGTATAGACTACTGCAACACTCTCTACGTGGGGTTGCCTCTGAAGACTGCCCGGAAGCTGCAATTAGTCCAACGAGCGGCAGCCAGATTACTAACAGGAGCGGGGTACAGGGAGCATATTACTCCTCTGTTGCGCCAGCTCCACTGGCTGCCAATTAGCTTCTGAGCACAAGTCAAAGTGCTGGTGTTGACCTATAAATCCCTAAACAACTCCGGCCCAGTTTACCTGTCGGAACGGATTCTCCCCATGAACCATCAAGGTTGTTAAGATCTTCTGGAGGGGCCCTGCTCTCGGTCCCACCATCTTCACAATCGCGTCTAGTGGCGACGAGGGACAGGGCCTTCTCGGTGGTGGCCCCTCGGCTCTGGAACTCTCTCCCATTGGAAATTAGAACTGCCCCTTCCCTCCTGACCTTTAGAAAGTTGGTGAAAACCTGGCTTTGGAATCTGGCATTTGATGAGTGAGGCAATGGCTTTTGATCACACGGACGGATGGGATGAATAGTGATTTTTATGCTAACGAGTAGTTTTATATAACTATATGATAGTACTTTAATGTGTTTATATTAGTGTATTATTGATGTGATGTTTTAAAACTATTGTGTATGAACCCCCTTGTTGTAAACCGGCCTGAGTCCCTCGTTGGAGGTGAGAAGACCGGTATATAAAAGTTCTAAATAAATAAATAATAGTGTAGTTTTGGGATTCTTTCCTGTCTGCTGAATAAGATATACTCATTTCCTGCCTTTACTTAACCTGTAGGAACTCGCTCGTGTTTGGGGAAGGACCTGGCAAGGATGGAGTTATTTCTTGTGGTGACCCACCTCTTGAGAGAGTTCCGTTTCAAGCCGCCTCCAGGAGTCCAAAAATTGGATGAAGAGCCATCGATGGGACTGACATTGCCACCCAAACATTACAAAATGTGTGCTGTTCCTCGCTATAGTTAAATCGTAAAGCATGCAAAAATAATTGCAGTGCTTTATTATTTATTGCTGTAATTTGAAAGGATTCAAAGAGCTATCAATGCTTAACTATCTTGTCTATTTCTAGTGAAAGAAGATTTTGCCAAACTGTCTTAGACTGTTACACACACGCACACGCATACCACCGTGCAGTTTCCAGAGGTTGGGTGGTCATATTTGTATGTGAAAGACAGCAAATGTCTATGCTGGATTGGTTCTATCACATGGGTTGCAACTCACAGAATCATGGAATTGAATAGACCCCAAAGGCCATCTAGTCCATCAACCCCTTCCATGCAGAAAAATATAATCAAAGCACTCTCAACAGATGGCCACCCAGCCTCTGCTTAAAAACTTCAAGAGAAGGAGACTCTGTCACAACTCCAAGGCAACATATTCCACTGCTGAACAGCTCTAACCATCAGGAGGTTCTTCTTAATGTTTATGTGGCATCTCTCTTCCTGAAATATGAACCAATTGCTCTATGTCCCGAGTCTCTAGAGCAGTGTTTTGGTCTACAACTCCCAAAAATCTCAGTCAGTTTACCAGTTGTTAGGAGCCCCCGGTGGCGCAGTGGGTTAAAGCACTGTGCCGGCAGGACTGAAGATCGACAGGTCGCAGGTTCGAATCCGGGGAGAGGCGGATGAGCTCCCTCTATTAGCTCCAGCTCCTCATGCGGGGACATGAGAGAAGCCTCCCACAAGGTTGATAAAACATCAAAAATCATCCAGGCGTCCCCTGGGCAACGTCCTTGCAGACGGCAAATTCTCTCACAACAGAAGCGATTGCTCCTGACACGACAAAAAAACCCCAAAAACCAGTTGTTAGGATTTCTGGGAATTGAAGGCCAAAATATCTCGGGACCCACAGGTTGAGAACCACAGCTCAAGAGCCACTGAAAGCAAGCTTTCCCCCTCCTCAATATGACATGTTTTCAAATATTTGAACATTGTTGATCTGGATTATATGGCAGTCTACCCAGAGTGCTTCCAGACAGCACTAAATCACGAGTTTAAAACAGGGGCAAAAAATCCCAGGACTTCAGAAGAGGTCTACATACAGATCTGTTGGTCCCGGGATTTCTGCCTCCGTTGTCCAGAATTGATGCTTTGTTGCGAGATTTAGAGGCTCCCAAGATGGCCACAGGATTTCCGCCGGAAACTTTGGCAGATTTTTTTTTAAAAAAACTCTTAAGATGCAGATATGCGGAGAATCACTGCAGCGAATCACTGCAAAAGTTCAGTTCGTTGTCCTGATTAGAGAAACTGTGCCCTCCACAAACTGCATGAAGTTTCTGTCACACAAACAAAGTTTTTGCCATCTACTCAACTGACACCATCTTTTTAGGAACCGAAAAAATAAGGAACAAACATCTAAAACCCAGGAAAAAACCCAGATTTTAAAAAAATCCATGATTTCCAATTGCAGGGACATACAGACATGCAAAGATCGGCATATTTGGCTCAAAATAGCAATATTCCCGCACCTGTAAATCTCGCGATTTTGCCCTTTGTAGTGATTGCTTCTGCATTTACAGCGTTTGCTGTGGAAGCTCCTGGGATAAAAGTACTGTCTGGATGGGCCCCCAGTTTTCTTTTCTCCAATCCAAACATACCCAGCTCTGGGTTCTTGTAGGTTTTTTCGGGCTATATGGCCATGTTCTAGAGGCATTTCTCCTGACGTTTCGCCTGCATCTATGCCTTGCCACGGATGCAGGCGAAACGTCAGAAGAAATGCCTCTAGAACATGGCCATATAGCCCAAAAAAATGGCGAAACGTCAGAAGAAATGCCTCTAGAACATGGCCATATAGCCCAAAAAACCCTACAACAACCCAGTGATTCCGGCCATGAAAGCCTTCGACAATATCCAGCTCCCTTAGCTGCACCTCATAGGGCTTGGTTTCCAAGTCTTTGATTTCACCTGCCCTTTTGTGCACAGACACTTTTTTGCATGCAAGGCATATAAGCTCTACATTCATAACTTTAAGCACAAGAGGCTTAAAAAAAACTTCCCATAGGATAAGAGTAATGTCATGTTTTGCCCTGCTAAGAGATATCTGTCACTTCAGTGACAGCCTTCAAGTTAAATATCTGCAAAAGGGCAGAGCAAGAGAAGCAGATTCCAAAGCAAGGCAAAAGCAGAGAAAGGAAGCAGAATCTGCAGAAGTTAAGCGCCCCCAGAGAAAGAGAGTGTCTCTGAAGGGTCTTCGTCACACATCCCCTTCATCCAGAACCTGATTCCCTGCTTTATTTGGAGTTTTCTTCCCAGAGGATGACAAAATGTGTGTGTGTGTTAGTCTGTAGTCCCTTGAATTTATAGTCCCCTTAGATTAATGTTTTGGAGTTGGGTTTTTAGCACCTGCCTTTTTCCTTTGAGAAATAGCTTGTACTGAACATAGACCGTGCTGTCTGTTTCTGCTATCATTTCCTGTCTTCTTAATAAAGAAATAATTGTGTGCAGGTACAACTGTACCAGGAACTCCAATTTTGTTTGCTTTGCATTGAATGTTTGCTGTAGTCCTAAGTTTCAGGGACTCTGCAGATAGGTGGCTTCTTTTGGCTGCAATCATAGGGCAAGCCACCTGTCAGTTATAGTTAGGTTCCCTGGTCTCACCCCCTTTTTGGGTTTTAGAGGGAATAGGAGCCATTTTGGGTTCAGTCCACACAGAGAAGCCTTTCATGCAGGACATAATACCAAGAGCTCCTGTAGAAAGCTTCATCTTCTACGGCTTGGCCGGGGAGATATACAGCCCACAGCTTGGCCGGGGTTATACAGCCCTACGGCTTGGCCAGGGAGATATACAGTCCTACAGCTTGGCCGAGGATTATGCAGCCTTACAGCTCCTTTGCTGAAGGACTTCAGACAGCCATCACGGAAACCTGAATTCTTTCTGCCCTGGGTCACTCACGGAAGCCAGAAGCAGTTGGTACCGGGTGCAGGGGCTCCACGCCAACAGAGGCAAAGACAGACTGCCCAGATTAGAAGTCAAGGATTTCCCCATTAGTTACCGTTCTGAAGATAGTGCCTGTTCCCTGTGGACAAGATTAAGAGAGATCCAATACACTGTTAAGAAAGCCTTAAAGTACCTGTTTGTTTTCATTAATAAAGAACTTTGTTGAACCTTTAAGCAATCTAGAGACTCTGTTTTAAGGAAATCCAAAGGCCTTTAATCTGAGGCAGCCCCGGCGTCCTGTTGGGCACACAGAATTTATGTCCTGTCTACAGTCTGATGCACAGGCCCAGCGTGCAACAGCACAAATTGTGTTTGCTTGACAGTCAAGTTGCCCTTGACCTGTTTCTCTTTCTTTGAAACTATTCTGGTTAACTCTTCATTTTTTAAAACAACTTTGATCCTGCAAGCTCTTGTAGTGAGTTAGGGCCTGGGAGAGCATTTCCTTCAAAGCAGTCAACCCAGCACACTGCTCTTATGAATATATAATCCATATATTTTGTCGTCAATGGGTGTGTGTGTGTCTTTAAACCAAACCTCAGCAGATACCAAGGATCCGCTGAGCTAACATACCAGATAAGGATGGATTGCAAAACGTTGAGACATAATTCTAGATCAGTGTATCTCAACCTGGGGGTCGGGACCCCTGGGGGGGTCACGAGGGGGTGTCAGAGGGGTCACCAAAGACTAATGAAATTCAATAATAAAAATAATATTACTAATAATAAAATTGAAGGTAAAGTAGAACAAAGCTATATTGCCAATTAAAGTGTCAGATGGACAATACTACTACTATTACCACCAATAATACTGGATATTAAGAATTCATAATTCTGAAAAATCAAATAGCAGTGTTATAAGGTCAAAAAGTAAGCTCCAAAGGACTGAGTTAGTGATAGTCCGATTTATTTATAGTATGTTCTACCAAGAAGAGTGTCCAGTGGTGCAATGGGTTAAACTGCTGAGCTGCTAAACTTGCTGACCAAGAGGTAGCAGGTTTGGTTCGAATCCAGGAAGCGGGGTGAGCTCTCGCTGTTAACCCCAGCTTCTGCCAACCTTACAGTTCGAAAACATGCAAATGTGAGTAGATCAATAGGTACAGCTTCTGCGAGAAGGTAACAGTGCTCCATGCAGTCATGCTGGCCACATAACCTTGGAGGTGTCTATGGACAATGCCGGCTCTTTGACTTAGTAAAATGGAGATGAGCACCACCCGCTAGAGTCCAGCATGACTAGGCTTAAGTCCTTTGGGAGAGTGGCTATCCCTCCCAATTTTGGCCCTAGGTAATTTTCAACGGTAAGCAAAGAATATTTTGTCACCCCCCACCCCCCAACCAATCACTGATAAAGATTTTCTGTTCATCGTGGGAGTTCTGTGTGCCATATTTGGTTCAATTCCATCATTGGTGGAGTTCAGAATGCTCTTTGATTGTAGGTGAACTATACATCCCAGTAACTACAACTGCATATGTCAAGGTCTATTTTCCCCCAAGAGCGCCTCAAGAGCGCCCCTGGGCAAAATCAACTATAATGAAAATGCTTACTTTGCGTAATGGGTTGAGCCGCCCCTGCCTACCAAGAAGAAGAAGTCAGCCATAGCAGAGCACCTGATGAACCAACCTGGACACAGCATTTTATTTGAGAACACAGAAATGCTGGACCACTCTCACAACCACCATGTCAGACTACACGGAGAAGCCAGTGAAATCCACAAGCATGTGGACAATTTCAACAGAAAGGAGGAAACCATGAAAATGAACAAAATCTGGCTCCAGTATTAAAAAAACTCTAAAATGACAACAGCAAAACAGCAGAGAGGAAACAACCAGGCACAAAAAAACCTACAACAACCCAGTGATTCCGGCCATGAAAGCCTTCGACAATATGCTAATCAAGGTGGTCAGTTGAAACATTCACACCTAGCTCCAGCAGACAAGAGTCCTTTGTCTCACCCTGGTCATTCCACAGGTATATAAACCCTTTTTCCTAGTTCCAACAGACCTCACTACCTCTGAGGATGCTTGCCATAGATGCAGGCGAAACGTCAGGAGAAATGCCTCTAGAACATGGCCATACAGCCCGAAAAAACCTACAACAACCCAGTGAGGCCATGAAAGAGAATGTTTTTCCAAAGAAAATGCCTCTAGAACATGGCCATATAGCCCGAAAAACCTACAACAATCCAAGAAGAAGAATGTTTTAATCCGAAGTGTGTTCTACCAAACTTTAGACTCGAAGAAGAAGAAGAAAGGAGGAAATAAGGAAAACCAGATAGAGATTACCTGTAACAGAAGTTCCAAACCAATACAGCGACTGTTCAAAAAACAAAACTAAGCAAAACAAAAATCAGAAAAGGAGAAGCGTTGCTCTTTCCTTCTTTGGAAGCTTTTAAACAGAGGCTGGATGGCCATCTGTCAGGGGTGATTTGAATCCAATATTCCTGCTTCTTGGCAGGGGGTTGGACTGGATGGCCCACGAGGTCTCTTCCAACTCTTTGATTCTATGATTCTCCACTTGGTGTCTCTCTTTGACCAACTGATGCAAAATAAAAGGCAGGAATAGAGATGCCAAGAAATGACAATAGCTCAGTGGTTCCCAACCTTTTTTTTTTCCACCAGGGAACACTTTGGCCAGGGACCGCTCTCCAACATAAGTACCAAAAGGGTTAGGAATCCGTTTTTGGTCAACTTTCGATTCAGTTTGGTTATTTGGGGTGCTGATTTGGAAAATTGCATTGGATAGACCACATCAGCTCTAGTGAAGCAGCAGTCAGGAGGCTTGTTGTTGTGCCTTGCATGGGAAGTCAGCCTCTCCCCTCCTGGCATCCCCATTGCCTCGGCACTATAAGTGGACAACAAGTTAAACATGAGCCAACAATGTGATGTGGCGGCAAAAAAAGCCAATGGGATTTTGGCCTGCATCAATAGGAGCATAGTGTCTAGATCCAGGGAAGTCATGCTCCCCATGCTCTATTCTGCCTTGGTTAGACCACACCTGGAATCACATTGTGTCCAATTCTGGGCACCACAATTGAAGGGAGATGTTGACAAGCTGGAATGTGTCCAGAGGAGGGCGACTAAAATGATCAAGGGTCTGGAGAACAAGCCCTATGAGGAGCGGCTTAAGAGCTGGGCATGTTTAGCCTGAAGAAGAGAAGGCTGAGAGGAGACATGATAGCCATATACTCAATGACTAAAGAGATTGTTCATTCGTTCAGTCGTCTCCGACTCTTCGTGACCTCATGGACCAGCCCACGCCAGAGCTCCCTGTCGGCCGTTACCACCCCCAGCTCCTTCAAGGTCAGTCCAGTCACTTCAAGGATGCCATCCATCCATCTTGCCCTTGGTCGGCCCCTCTTCCTTTTACCTTCCCCTTTCCCCAGCATAATTGTCTTCTCTAGGCTTTGCTGTCTCCTCATGATGTGGCCAAAGTACTTCAACTTTGTCTCTAGTATCCTTCCCTCCAATGAGCAGTCGGGCTTTATTTCCTGGAGGATGGACTGGTTGGATCTTCTCGCAGTCCAAGGCACTCTCAGAACTTTCCTCCAACACCACAGCTCAAAAGCATCTATCTTCCTTCGCTCAGCCTTCCCTAAGGTCCAGCTCTCACATCCGTAGGTTACTACAGGGAATACCATGGCTTTGACTAGGCGGATCTTTGTTGCCAGTCTGATGTCTCTACTCTTTACTATTTTATCGAGACTGGACATTGCTCTCCTCCCGAGAAGTAAGCGTCTTCTGATTTCCTGGCCACAGTCTGCATCTGCAGTAATCTTTGCACCTAGAAATACAAAGTCTGTCACGGCCTCCACGGTTTCTCCCTCTATTTTCCAGTTGTCAGTCATTCTTGTTGCCATAATCTTGGTTTTTTTGACGTTTAGCTGCAACCCGGCTTTTGCGCTTTCTTCTTTCACCTTGATTAGAAGGCTCCTCAGCTCCTCCTCGCTTTCGGCCATCAGAGTGGTGTCATCTGCATATCTGAGGTTGTTAATGTTTCTTCCAGCAATCTTTCACCCCAGCTTTGCATTCATCCAGCCCCGCACATCGCATGATGTGTTCTGCATACAAGTTAAAAAGGTTGGGTGAGAGGATGCAGCCCTGCCGTACGCCCTTCCCAATCCCGAACCAGTCCGTTGCTCCGTGGTCAGTTCCGACTGTTGCTACTTGGTCCTTGTACAGACTTTACTGGGCATGTTTAGCCTGAAGAAGAGAAGGCTGAGAGGAGATATGATAGCCATGTATAAATATGTGAGAGGAAGCCACAGGGAGGAGGGAGCAAGCTTGTTTTCTGCTTCCTTGGAGACTAGGACGCGGAACAATGGCTTCAAACTACAAGAAAGGAGATTCCATCTGAACATGAGGAAGAACTTCCTGACTGTGAGAGCCGTTCTGCAGTGGAACTCTCTGCCCCGGAGTGTGGTGGAGGCTCCTTCTTTGGAAGCTTTTAAACAGAGGCTGGATGGCCATCTGTCAGGGGTGATTTGAATGGATGGCCCAAAAGCTGGGTTGCAGTAAACATCAAAAAAACCAAGATTATGGCAACAAGAATGATTGACAACTGGGAAATAGAGGGAGAAAACGTGGAGGCCGTGACAGACTTTGTATTTCTAGGCGCAAAGATTGCTGCAGATGCAGACTGTGGCCAGGAAATCAGAAGACGCTTACTTCTTGGGAGGAGAGCAATGTCCAATCTCGATAAAATAGTAAAGAGTAGAGACATCAGACTGGCAACAAAGATCCGCCTAGTCAAAGCCATGGTATTCCCTGTAGTCACCTACGGATGTGAGAGCTGGACCAGAAGGAAGGCTGAGCGAAGGAAGAGAGATGCTTTTGAACTGTGGTGTTGGAGGAAAGTTCTGAGAGTGCCTTGGACTGCGAGAAGATCCAACCAGTCCATCCTCCAGGAAATAAAGCCCGACTGCTCATTGGAGGGAAGGATACTAGAGACAAAGTTGAAGTACTTTGGCCACATCATGAGGAGACAGCAAAGCCTAGAGAAGACAATGATGCTGGGGAAGTGGAAGGCAAAAGGAAGAGGGGCCGACCAAGGGCAAGATGGATGGATGGCATCCTTGAAGTGACTGGACTGACCTTGAAGGAGCTGGGGGTGGTAACGGCCGACAGGGAGCTCTGGCGTGGGCTGGTCCATGAGGTCACGAAGAGTCGGAGACGACTGAACGAATGAACAACAACAATCCTGCTTCTTGGCAGAAGGGGGCTGGACTGGATGGCCCATGAGGTCTCTTCCAACTCTTTGATTCTATTCTATCACTCTATTATTATGGAGCCCCAGGAGGTGGGCAGGTAGGGAGAGAGGGAGGGCGGAAGTCCCGCCTCCCGCCTTCGGGCGCCATCTTGGGGCCGGGCGGAAGTCCAGTGAGAGTGGGAGGCCTCCGCTTTCTAGGGAGCCAGGCGTGCGCTCACTTCCGGAGAGGGAGGGGCCACTTCCGGAGGAGGAAAAGGGCAGAGGAGAGCAGGAAAGGCATAGGTAAAGGGCTCCAGCTTGGCATTGAGATATAGAGACTAGCTTGGGTACCTGGAAGATTCCATGGATTGGACATTGACTCAGCAACATCATAGTTGTTCTCTCCTTCCTTCCCTCCCTCTTTCCTTCCTTCCTTCCTTCCCTTTTTTCTCTCTGCAACTCCCAGCAGTCCTCCTGATCCATCTACCTACCTACCTATCTATCTATTTGGAGGATTGCTGGGAGTTGCAGTCCAAGAATAGGTAGAGAATGAAGAAAGGGGAGAAAGAAGACTGCAACTCCCATCAGTCCTCCTGATCCACCTATCTACCTACCTATCTAATCTGTCTATTTGGAGGATTGCTGGGAGTTGCAGTCCAAGAATAGGTAGAGAATGAAGAAAGGGGAGAAAGAGGACTGCAACTCCCATCAGTCCTCCTGATCCATCTACCTACATACCTATCTAATCTATCTATTTGGAGGATTGCTGGGAGTTGCAGTCCAATAATAGGTTTTTATTTGTCGTGTCAGGACAACCAGTCAAATTATATTACATTTCTAACACAACAAAGCAAACAAACAGACAAAATACAGAATTTGTGAGTTTGGTAGTTGATTAAATGTCCTTTGACCAGTATCTGGCCACTTGGAGTGCCTCTGGTGTTGCCGCAAGAAGGTCCTCCATTGTGCATGTAGCATGGCTCAGGTTGCATTGCAGCAGGTGGTCAGTTGTTTACTTTTCTCCGCACTCGCATGTTGTGGATTCCACTTTGTAGCCCCATTTCTTAAGGTTGGCTTTGCATCTCGTGGTGCCAGAGCGCAGTCTGTTCAGCGCCTTCCAGGTCGCCCAGTCTTCTGTGTGCCCAGGGGGGAGTCCCTCATTTGGTATCAGCCATTAGTTGAGGTTCTGGGTTTGAGCCACTTTTGGACTCTCGCTTGCTGAGGTGTTCCAGCGAGTGTCTCTGTGTTGTTGTTCATTCGTTCAGTCGTCTCCGACTCTTCGTGACCTCATGGACCAGCCCACGCCAGAGCTCCCTGTCGTCTGTCACCACCCCCAGCGCCTTCAAGGTCAGTCCAGTCACTTCAAGGTCTCTGTAGATCTTAGAAAACTATTTTTAGATTTAAGTCATTGACGTGCTGGCTGAAACCCAAACAGGGGATGAGCTGGAGATGTCTCTGCCTTGGTCCTTTCACTATTGGCTGCTACTTCCCGGCGGATGTCAGGTGGTACAATACCGGCTAAGCAGTCTAATTTCTCCAGTGGTGTAGGGCGCAGACACCCCATGATAATGCGGCATGTCTCATTTAGAGCCACTCCACTGTTTTAGTGTGGTGAGATGTGTTGCACAGAAGCGACCAGCATGCAAGCAAGAATAGGTAGAGAATGAAGAAAGGGGAGAAAGAGGAGTGCAACTCCCAGCAGTCCTCCTGATCCATCCACCTACCTACCTATCTATTTGGAGGATTGCTGGGAGTTGCAGTCCAAGAATAGGTAGAGAATGAAGAAAGGGGAGAAAGAGGACTGCAACTTCCAGCAGTCCTCCTGATCTATCTATCTATCTATCTATCTATCTGGAGCAGTGTTTCTCAACCTAAGGGCCGGGACCCCTGGAGGGGTGTCAGAGGGGTCACCGAAGACCACCAGAAAACAGTGTTTCCTGTTGGTCATGGAGGTTCTGTGTGCGAAGTTTGGCCCAATTCAATTGTTGGTAAGGTTCAGAATGCTCTTTGATTGTAGGTGAACTATAAATCCCAGCAACTACAGCTCCCAAATGTCAAGGTCTATTTTCCCAAACTCCACTAGTGTTTACATTTGGGCATATTGGGAATTCGTGCCAAGTTTGGTCCAGATCCATCATTGTTTGAGTGCACAGTGCTCTCTGGATGTAGGTGAACTACAACTCCCAAAACTCAAGGTCAGTATCCACCAAACCCTTCCAGTCTTTTCCATTGGTCATGGGAGTTCTGTGTGCCAAGTTTGGTTCAGTTCCATTGTTGGTGGAGTTCAGAATGCGCTTTGATTGTAGGTTAACTATAAATCCCAGCAACTACAACTCCCATAGGACAAAATCAGTACCCTCCCCCACTCCCACCTGTATTCAAATTTGGGTGTATTGGGTATTTGTGCCAAATTTGGTCCAGTGTATGAAAATACATCCTGCAAATCAGATATTTACATTACTAATCATAACAGCAGCAAAATGACAGTTATGAAGTAGCAATGAAATTAATTTTATGGTTGGGGGTCAGCACAACATGAGGAAGTGTATTAAGGGGTCGTGGCATTAGGAAGGTTGAGAACGACTGATCTGGAGAATTGCTGGGAGTTGCAGTCCAGGAATAGGAAACTAGAAATATGCAGGGATTGGGATGTTCCCAAAGAAATCCAAGGAGAAGAAAGCTTGCATCTTGGAAGCAGTGCATTTGGATCATCCTCCTCTCTTAAAAGGCCTGGTCTAGGGGATGATGGCAGCTGTAGTCCGGGAGAGAGTGTGGATATGCTATTGTGTATTTTGTTTGCCAGGGGGAGTCATTTTTGTGCATGTGCTGTAGTCTTTTTTTTTATAGCTTTTTTTGGCTTTTGAAGTCCCTATTTGCCTATGTATTTTAATAGTTTTATAACCCACCTAGAACCATTAGGAGAGGTGGGTAAGAAATATAATAATCTATATAAATAAAAATGTAATGTTCGTTTGTGATACCATCAGAACTCAAAAACCACTGAGGGAATTGACACCAAATTTGACCACAAGACACCTAACAACCCAATGTATGTCCTTCACTCAAAAAAATTGATTTTGTCATTTGGGAATTGTCGTTGCTGGGATTTATAGTTTACCTACAATCAAAGAGCATTCTGAACTCCACCAATGATGGAATTGGGCCAAACTTAGCACACAGGGCTCCCATGACCAACAGAAAAAACTGGAAAGGTTTGGTGGACATTGACCTTGAGTTTGGGAATTATAGTTCACCCACATCCAGAGAGCACTGTGGACTCAAACAATGATGGATCTGGACCAAACTTGGCACGAATATTCCATATGCGCAAATATGAACACAGATGGAGTTTAAGGAAAATAGACCTTGACATTTGGGATTTGTACTTACTGGGATTTATAGTTAACCTACAATCAAAGAGCATTCTGAACTCCACCAATGATGGAATTGAACCAAACTTGGCACACAGAATTCCCATGACCAGCAGAAAATACTGGAAGGGTTTGGTGGACATTGATCTTGAATTTGGGAGTTGTAGTTCACCTACATCGAGAGAGCACTCTCGACTCAAACAATGAAGGATCTAGACCAAACTTGGCACAAATACTCCATATGGCCAAATAGGAACACAGATGGAGTTTGGAGGAAATAGACCTTGACATTTGGGATTTGTAGTTACTGGGATTTATAGTTCACTACAATTAAAGAGCATTCTGAAACCCACAAACGACAGAAATGGGGCAAATTTCCCACACAGAACCCCCATGACCAACAGAAAATACTTAAGGCCATCCAGTCCAATTCTCTTCACCAGGGCAAGAAAATGTAATCAGAGCCCTCCTGACAAAGAGCCATCCAGTCATAAATATAGATAGATAGATAGATAGATAGATAGATAGATAGATATAGATAGATAGATAGATATGATTCTCTCTCACACACACAGATATAGTATCATAGATTTGAAAGAAGGACTATGATATGTTGCATATTCCAGAGTAGGCAAACCAGACAACTCTCCACATCAACACTGACAAAGAAACAACAAGAAATACTGTTTACTCACAAGCATAAAGGAATTACATATATTAGAAACCAACACTTTCTCATTACTTTATTTTCCAGATCACCAGACTGGGCCACAGCAACGCGTGGCAGGGGACAGCTAGTATAATATATTGAGAGAATCACAATAGCAATGTCGTGGAAGGGGTAAAAGAACTACTGCATATACTCAACCCGAATATAAGTCGAGGCCTACCTTTACCACAAAACACTGGGATAACACATTGACTCGGATATAAGCCAAGGGTGGGAAATGCAGCAGCTACTGGTAAATTTCAAAATCAAAATAGATACTAATAAAATTACATTAACTGAAGCAACAGTAGGTTGAAGTTTTTTAATATTTACATAAAACTATAAGATAAGACCGTCCAATTCTGATTAAACCATTTATCTAACCTTCTTCAATGTAAATGAGAGTAAAATAATAAATGTAATAACCATAGAGTAAATAGAGTAATAGAGTAAAATAATGGAAATGTAATAACAGTAATAATAGAGTAAAATAAAATTTTAATAAAAATAATAATAGAGTAAAAGAATGTAAATGTAATAATGCCAATAATAATATAGTAAAATAATAAATGTAATAATAATAGAATTGTTGGGGTTCAGCCTTGTGTGAACCTGATTGTCTGATTGTATTTCCTGATACTGATGAAGATGTTGATTCTGAGGGCAATGTAGAAGATGACGGTTTGTGTAGTGAAACTCCTGCAGCCTTGGAAAGTGAAAGTCCAAATTCCCATGAGAATATTTCAGAGCCAAGCGATGAACTATCACTCCCTTTTCCTCCCAGTCTTAGCTCTCCAGAGAATCTGACACCTGGTCTCTCTAATGAGGATACGAGAGGGCAGATTTGGCAGAGCAGGGGAGAATCTCGAAGTTTACGAAGGTCAGCTAGACTGAGAGAAATGCAAACAAAGCCTGCAGGCGTGTCACGTAATAGATTTCTCGGCCTTAAATACTTCTCGCCTGGATGCATCTTCAGACCAGGCATCATTCCTGATTCAGGCATCATCCTTGGCAGGTCTCCTGATTCCAGTGGCCTTATTACTAATAGGCTTCCTAGTTGTTTCAAGTACGGTTAGTGGATTACTAACAGGTTCCAGGATTTAGCAGTGTTACTGTGGGTTTTTGATCTTGTTCATGGACATTTCTTGTTGCTGATTTTTACTGTGGCTTTTTACCTTGCATATTTCCTCTATTTTGTACTCATCTTTCTTCAATAAAAAAGGATTATTTTTCCTGAAGTCAAGTGTGGTGGATTGTTGTCTGAGGGTCCAGTTTCCTGCTCTGGGTTGCAACAAGAATAAAATAATAAATGTAATAAAAATAATACAGTAAAATAAATGTTATAATAATAATATTATTAAATAGAGTAAAATAAATAAATGTAAAAAATGATACTATTGGGAAAGGGCAGCCATCTTGGATATCGGGAGAAGAAATATGGAGAGGGCAGCCATCTTTAATATTGAGAGATGAAGCGATAGATGAATAAGTCTGGTTTTCTTCTAATTTGTCTTGCAGGTAATGTTTGAATGAACCTTGTGAAGGCCCTGTGAGAGCTTTGCCCTAGAGATGCCTTGGGACCAAAATGAAAGGTCACTGCACTAGCAAGAACAAGTAATAAGTAGGAGAGAGACATATTTCAAGTGACATACCTGGAGGAAAGGGAGAATTGTGCTTTTCAAAGAGTGACTTGGTAAAGAGACAAGAAGGCTTCAGCAATACAAAGACCGAAAAAAGGAAATCCTGTGCTGTTCAGGAGTTTATATCTGTGAACTTCTGACATAATAGTTGAATCATAAATTTAAAAGAATGGAAAATCTTCATCCCTGTTCCACATCACATACAGGGGAGAAGCTACATAAGTGTATGGACTGTGGGAAATGTTTCATGTGGAGGCGTTCTCTTACTAAGCATCAACATACTCACACAGGGGAGAAGCCGTATCACTGCATGGAATGTGGAAAGAGCTTCGGTCGGAGTGGACACCTGCATTCCCACCAAAGGACCCACACAGGGGAGAAGCCATATCCATGCATGGAATGTGGAAAGAGCTTCAGTCAGAGTGGAGCCCTCCGTTCCCACCAAAGGACCCACACAGGTGAGAAGCCACATCAGTGCATGGAATGTGAAAAGAGCTTCAGTCGGAGTGGAGATCTGCGTCGCCATCAAAGAACCCACACAGGGGAGAAGCGATATCAATGTATGGAATGTGGAAAGAGCTTCGGTCGAAATGGACAGCTGCGTTTCCACCAAAGGATCCACACGGGGGAAAAGCCACATCAGTGCATGGAATGTGGAAAAAGCTTTAGTCAGAGTGGAGCTTTGCGTTCCCACGAAAGAACCCACACAGGGAAGAAGCCATACAAATGCATGGAATGTGGAAAAAGCTTCAGTTTGAGTGGAGCGCTCCGTAACCATCAAAGGACCCACATAGGGGAGAAGCCACATCAATGCTTGGAATGTGGAAAGAGCTTCAGTCAGAGTGGAGATCTGCATCTCCATCAAAGAACCCACACAGCGGAGAAGCCATATCAATGCATGAAATGTGGAAAGAGCTTCAGTTTGAATGGCGCACTCCATTCCCATCAAAGGACTCACACAGAGGAGAAGCCACATCAGTGCTTGGAATGTAAAAAGAGCTTCAGTCTGAGTCGAGGTCTGCGTCGTCATCAAAGAACCCACACAGGGGAGAAGCCATATCAATGCATGGAATGTGGAAGGAGCTTCAGCCAGAGCGGAGCACTCCGTTCCCATCAAAGGACCCACACAGGGGAGAAGCCACATCAGTGCTTGGAATGTGGAAAGAACTTCAGTCAGAGTGGAGATCTGCGTCTCCATCAAAGAACCCACACAGGGGAGAAGCCATATCAATGTATGGAATGTGGAAAGAGCTTCAGTCAGAGTGGAGCCCTCCGTTCCCACCAAAGGACCCACACAGGGGAGAAGCCACATCAATGCATGGAATGTGGAAAGAGCTTTGGTCGGAGTGGACAGTTGCGTTCCCATCAAAGGACCCATACAGGGGAGAAGCCATATAAATGCATGGAATGTGGAAAGAGCTTCAGCCTGAGTGGAGCCCTCCGTTCCCACCAAAGGACCCACACAGGGGAGAAGCCACATCAATGCATGGAATGTGGAAAGAGCTTCGGTCGGAGTGGAGCGCTCCATTCCCATCAAAGGACCCACACAGGGGAGAAGCCACATCAATGCATGGAATGAGCTTCAATGGGAGTGGACAGTTGTGCTCCCATCAAAGGACCCACACACGGATAGAGGAAGAGACCTGCTTTTGAGTTTCCTAGTTCTATTTAAAAAATCCCCCATACAAGGGTCCCATCACTCCATAGGCAGCCAAAGAATGGCAGAATGGAAGCAAAGAGGAAAGCCACCACCTTGTTCTCTATCTGTCCTGGACTGCAGTTTGTGTGACCTGGCTTGATTGCTACTGGGGCAGATTCCTCACAGAGGAGGACTCTTCTCAGTATTGCAGTCATTTGTGAAGGGGTTAACCTGACTTCTTCCATCACGGACTTCTGGGGTGATCTGTTTAGGCTTGCTGAAATGAGAGCAGCTGAGCTCTTATGATAAAAAGGTTCTGGAAAAGACTAGCTCTTTGGGAGCAGATAATGGCATGTTGGAAATTACAGCCTTCTTCAAGCCTTCTCTTGTAATATCGAGTAATCAGTGATCCTGTTGCTGACTGTTTTGTATGTATGTTCTAGTATACAGCTTCCTTTAGTCTAGTTCCTGAGCAGTTGTAGGAGTGGTTGCAGACCACATGTTCTGCTCAGACCACACACTTCCATTTATTGTCTTCATGTTCTTGTTGTAAGAGAGATGTCCTGGCCAGATGGCAAAGAGAGTTAAAAAAGCGCTAAACGGCCCCAGCCCAGATTACCTGTCCAAATGCATCTCTCCCTATGAACCATTGCAGAGATTAAGATCCTCCGTGGGGGCCCTGCTTTCCGTCCTGCCATTGTCACAGACATGATTGGTGGGGACGAGAGACAGGGCCTTCTCAGTGATTGCTCCCCGGCTATGGAACTCCCTTCCTGGTGAGATCAGGTCAGCCCGCTCTCTCCTGTCCTTTAGACGGATGATAAAAACTTGGCTGTGGGACCAAGCTTTTGGGACAGGCCAACAATGCAGCAACAGGAAAGATGACCAGGCCAACTAGACTTGACGTGGATGACTAGGATGGTTTTAAATGATGTATTTTAATATTTTGATAAATGTTTTTAATGTTTATGTATGTATATAAGAATTTTGTGTCCCGGCATTGGATGTTTGCCGTATATATGCTGTGCTCTGCCCTGAGTCCCCTTTGGGGTGAGAAGGGCAGAATATAAATTATATATATATATATATATAAATATATATATATATATATATATATATATATGTATTTCTAACATATCTGAAACTGGACTGATAAGTTTTGTACCTGTATATGCAGAACACATGAAGGTTGTGAATAAATCAAATATGTTATTGTTATCTAAGTGTTTCATTTTGCCTTTTGAATGTATGATATAAAACAAGTTTTATGGGAGACTGTGTGTGTGTGTGTATGTATGGCACTGAAAAACACTTCTGAAGCACTGGCAAAATCTCTGTTTTCCTAACAGATCAGAGATAACAGGTTATTCAGTCTAACAACTGAAACCATTGCCTAGCATAATTACATCTGGTTGTATACCACAAGAGAAGATTCTACTCTAAAGAATTTTGACTCTTCTCTGACAGGCCATGCTTTTCTAAAAAGTTATGATCTCCAAAAGTTTATGTCTTCCAAAACAACATACTTTCATACTGTTGTCCTGGACCTTGACCCTGTTGCCTCGGTTTCAATTCTGGACTCTGGCCTTGTTCCTGTAATCCTGGTTTGGACTATATCCTTAATCATTGAGTCTAACTTCTGGACTAACTTCCTGGCTTGACTTATGGACTTCAGTTTGTATCCTTGCCTTGACTTTGTAACTAACTTTAATTTCTTTTCTTGCATTCTTAGTTGTTATTTTATGAACTCTAATGAATGAACTCCTGTGTCCTGACTGTTGGGCTGTAAGCTTGACTGTTTCTTAGTTCTGTTCCTGACCTGGTTCTGTAGTACTCGGCTTCTCTGTGTTAATTGGACTCTTAACCTTGGTTTGTGTGCTTCCATTGTCTTCTTTTAGCCAGACCTTCACAAGTTTCAACTTATTTATTTATTTACAGTATTTATATACTGCTTTTCTCACCCCTGGGGGGACTCAAAGTGGTTTACAAAAATAATGGCAAAAATCACTGCCTTACATACATAAATCAACTCAAACATTTGACTAAGCAGAAAATACAATAGACAAATTCTCCATAACACAATAGGATGTGCAGAAGTCATTGTTATTATGTTTGTGTTTAACTGTTAGAGTATGTATTTGTGTTTGTAACAGTAGCTAAAACTGGAGTCATCTGGTTTGAATCCACAGTGAGCGTTGCCAAGGAGACGAGGCTGGCTAGCTCATGAGGGTGAGGAGCGGGCGGAGCCAAGCAGGAAAAGTTATATGCGTTTTTTAAAAAAGGCCTGAGAGTGAGGCTTGGAAAGGCCTAAGAGAGCGACTTGTGTGTGAGTGGCTGGTGTTTTATCAGTCTAGTAGGGCTGAAGAAAGAAACCTGGCCAGATTCTTTAGTCAAAGAAGACTAAAGGAAGCCCAGTTAAGATCCCTAGTTAAGGAAGGACTAGAGATCAGAGATTTGATCGAGGGAAGATCAAATTGAAAGGCTATTTATAGTAGTGAAACATTGTTCACTAGAGAGCTTCACCTCAGTGAAAGTTAGCCACAAGCTGTGTTATCTGGAAGAGTGGACTGAATTATAAACCACGAGATATTCAAAGTTCCATAAGTTATTTAACAGCGTGGAACTATAAGCTTTGTACACAATAAACTTGTTATCTTTTGTTGAAAACCGTCTCACCTCAACTAATCTGCGTCTGTAGAGCCAGATCTCATCGGTGGTACCTCAAATACCTCATGTTGGTGGCGGTTACCTTAATTTACTAATAATAATTGGCCTCCTCCATAATATACTCTTCTACACAATTGAGGCCTGAGGTGAATTCCCTCCATAACATCCATATCTGTACAATTGGTGGCAGCGGTGAGATTAAAAAGTGCCTGAGGTAAAATAACTCCATTATTAGGGCCTGCCGTTGCCAACCTCAGCAACACACAAGCACCTCCTCACAATTGGAGATAGTGGTGAGGATCTTCAAAGATAAAATCCCTATATACCCTGTCCATCGTTGAGTTCACATCTTCCCAATTGGCAGCAAGCGTGGGATCCGTGTAACATCAAAGTTTAGTGCCTTAAGATTGCTTGGAAAAGAAAATCGTGAGGCAAAATTTGACAGAAAATGGCCACCAGATGTCAGAAAAGGATTGCTGAAGAAGCAGGTGAATACCAGGAGGAGAATTTAGATTCTGAACAAATGCCTGTGTCAGAGATGACTCTCAAATATAGACTGGAGATGAAAAAGTTAGAAATGGAGGAAAGACAACAAGAAAGAGAATTGAGAAAGTTGGAGTTAGAAAAAGAACAAGAATTAAGGAGAATGGATATAGAATTAGAAAAACAGAGATTAACATTATCTCAGCCACACATCAATAACCAGGAAGGGAACTCTAGAGCTGAGGCAACAGACATGTTTTTAAAGAGATTCCCAAGGTTTAATAAGGACGATGATGTGGAAAAGTTTTTAATTTCATTTGAAAATTGCTGTAGAGACTTTGAGATTAGTGAGGAGAAGTGGATGATTTATTTGAGACCTCAAATTAGCGGGAAGCTTTTGGAAATCTATGGTGACATGCCTGAAGAGTCTCATAGAGATTACAGTTTATTCAAAAAACAAGTACAACAAAATCTTCAACTGACACCTGAGTTCTATAGATTGAAATTTAGAACTCTGAAGAGAAAAAAATCAGAGTTTTGCTCAGGTAGCCTCAAAGCAAGCTCAGCTTCTTGACAGTTGGTTAAGAACCTCTGAGGTAGAGAACTATCAGCAATTGAGGGAGTTAATGAAATTAGAAGAACTATTTCAGTTAGTACCCTCAGTGTACCGATGGTTAGTGCAGGATCGCAAACCAGCAGCCGCTGGGGAAGCCGCTGTCATGGTGGATCAGTTGATCACCCTGAGAGAATGATTTAAAAAAGATGATGGTCCAGTGATAAAAAGCAGAATAAGCTGCCATTTTATCATTACCAAGCGCGCACACAGCAGGGAAGAGGGCCTGTAGGAGAAAACACCGCCTGGAGGAGACAGGGAGTAACAAACCAAATCATGCCTGAAGGAAAGATGAGGTGTTTTCAATGTGGCAAATTGGACCATTTAAGATATCAATGTCCCCTTTTGAAAAAGGACAAGACATCTTTCTTTGTGAATAAAGTAGCTGTAGAAACCAAGGCAGAACAAGATACTAAGTCTAAAGGCAGCCTTGAAGCAGTGCCCAAAGAAAAACAATGTTTGTTTATTTTGTCAGATAAACCATCTGAGGACTATTTAGAGCCTATTTCTATTGACAATAAGGATATGCAGGGATGGAGAGATACTGGATCTGATGTTTGCATCATTCATCCAGAAGCAATACCTCAAAAGTTTCGACATCCCACTTCAGAAATTAATTTAAAAGGCTTGGGACCTGCTATACCCATCGAAGTAGTTTCATTGCCAATCGAATATGAGGGTTGGAAAGGAATTTGGGACTTTCCCATCAGCCCAGATATACTTCACAAGTGTTTAATCGGTAATGACCTGGCTAAGGAAATTACAAACTGGAGAATGTTATGTGAGAAAAAAAATAACATCGGAGGCCCTACTCAGGAAGCAATGTGCTTAACCATTCAGTATGATGTAGAAGAGGGCCCAGGATCCAGTTCTATAATTACTGAGATTGTTAATAAAACAGAGGGAGTTAAAGAGATTCTGCAAGAACAGAGGGCAGATGAAACCCTAAAACCCTTGTTCACACAGGCTCAGAATACACCAGTCAGCAGAAGAACAACCCTCTAGATTCATTACTAAGAATGGTGTCCTATATAGAGAGACTAAAAGCCTGAAGTCGGCAGGAAAGTCAGAAGTGTCTAACCAGATTGTAGTGCCCGAAAAATTCAAAGAACAACTCATGAGGGTGGCACATGATAGCCCTCAGGGAGGACATTTGGGCATCAGAAAAACTACAGAG